TCTCTCTCTCTCTCTCTCTCTCTCTCTCTCTCTCTCTCTCTCTCTCTTTCTCTGCCCCTTGTGGGGTTCTCTTTCTCCCCATCTCTCTCTGCCCCTCACTCACTTGCTCCCTCTCTCTGTCTCAAAAAAATGAAAAAGAATGAATAATATTCCAAGTATGTATATGTAGGTACCACATTTTCTTTATCCATTTATTCAATCATGAACATTGGATTGTTTCATCACTTGGCTATTGTGAGTAATGCTACAAAGAACATGGGTGTGCAAATATCATTTCAAGCCTCTGCTTTGAATGCTATTGTATACATACCCAGAAGTGAGATTATTGGATCATGTGGTATTTCTATTTTTATTTTTTTGAGGTATTGCCATACTGTTTTCCATGATGGCTGCACCATCTTACACTCCTACCAGCATGGCACAAATGTTCCAACTTTTCCATTTCCTTGTCAGCACTTATTTTTTGTTCTTTTGATAGTGGCCATCCTGATGAGTGTGAGAGGGTATCTCATAGTGGTTTTACTTTGCATGCCCCTGATGATTTGTGATGTTGAGCATCTTTTTGTGTGCTTATTGGCCATTTGTGTATATTCTTTAGGAAAATGTCTGTTGAAGTCATTTGTCATATATTAATTGGATTTATTTTGTTTTGCACAGGCTTTTTTTGTTGCCTGTGCTTTTGATGTCATAGCCAAGAAATTATTGCCAAATCCAATGTACTGAAGTTCATTTTTCTATGTTTACTTCTAGGAGTTGTGTAGTTTTTGGTCTTTAATCACATTTTAGTCTTTAATCCATTTTGAGTTAGTTTTGGATATGGAGTATGGAAAAGATCCAACTGTATGTATGTATGTATGTATGTGGATATCCAGTTTTCCAAACCCCATTTATTTGAGGAGACCATCCTTTTCCCATTATATAGGTTTGACAGCCTTGTCAATAATCATTTGCCCATATATGCAAAGATTTATTTCTGGAATATCTATTGTGTTCCATTGGTTGATATATCTATCTTTATGACAGCCCATCATCTTACTTACTGTTGCTTTGTACTATGTTTTGACATAAGAAGTGTGAGGCCTCCAACTTTGTTCTTTTTCAAGAATGTTTTGGCTAGTCAGGATACCTTGATATTCCATATGAATTTTAAGATATTTTTTCTATTTCTGAAAAAAAATGCCATTGATATTTTGATAGGGATTGCATTGACTCTGTAGATCAATTTGGGTCATATGGATATTTGAACCATACTGAGTCTTCCAATCCAGAAGCACAGGGTGTCTTTCCATGTATTTTGTCTTCTTTAATATTTTTAGCAATGTTTTGTAGTTTTGAGTCAATGAGTCTTTCACCTCCCTGAATAAATGTATTCTTAACTATTTTATCCTTTTCAATGGTATATTAATTGGGTTTATTTTCTTAATTTCTTTCTTGGATTGAGCATTGTTATTGTTATTGACAACTTTCTTGGATTGAGCATTGTTATTGTTATTGACAACTAATTTTTGTGTGTTGCTTTTGTATCCTGCAAATTTGTTGAAATAGTTTTTAGTTGTAATAGTTTTTTTTTTTTCTGGGATTTTTAGGTTTTTCTACATATAAGAGTATGTCATTTGAGAACAGAGATAATTTTACTTTTTCCCCCAATTTCTTATCTAATTACTTTTGCTAGAACTTCAAGTACTACATTGAATAGTGTTGTCAAGAGTGGACATGTTTGCTTTGTTCTTCATCTTAGTGAAGGAGCTTTCAGTCTTCTACCATTGAGTATATTAGCTATGAGCTTTCTACAAGTGGCTTTTATTACATTGGGGTAGTTTTCTTCTATTCTAATTTGTTGAGTAACTGTTATCATAAGAGATATTTAATTTTTCTGTATTGAGATGACCATGTGGTTTTGTCCTTGATTTTGTTAATGAGATATATTACATTGATTGATATTTTTATATTGAACCATCCTTGTTTTTTCCAAGTATAAATTCCACTTGGTCATTGTATATGAACTTTTTTTTTTTTTTTTTTTTTTTAAATTTTTTTTTTCAATGTTTATTTATTTTTGGGACAGAGAGAGACAGAGCATGAACGGGGGAGGGGCAGAGAGAGAGGGAGACACAGAATCAGAAACAGGCTCCAGGCTCTGAGCCATCAGCCCAGAGCCTGACGCGGGGCTCGAACCCACGGACCGCGAGATCGTGACCTGGCTGAAGTCGGACGCTTAACCGACTGCGCCACCCAGGCGCCCCTGTATATGAACTTTTTGATGTTCTTTTGAATTTAGTTTGCCAATATTTTGTTTAGGATCTTTGCATCAATGTGAACCAAGAATATTGTTCTATAACTTTCTTGGATCTTTAACTTTTTTTGTTTTAATATCGGGATAATGCTGTAATACTGGCTTCATAGAATGATTTTGGAGGTATTCCCTTCTCTTAAACTCATAGGCAGAGTTTGAGCAGGACTGGTATTGATTCTTTAAATGTTTGGTACAATTCTTCAGTGAAGCCATTTGCTCATAAACTTTGTTGGGAGCTTTTTAATCACAGCTTCAGTCTCCTTACTAGTTATAGGTATGTTCATATTTTTTATTTCTTCATGATTCAATCTTGATGGGTTAGATGTTCCTAGGAATTTTTCCATTTCATCTAGGTTATCCAATTTGTTGGCATATAATTATTGATTGTAGAGACTATTGATAGTAGTCTCTCAGGATCCTTGTTAATTTGGGGTCATAAGTTGTAAAATCCCTGCTTTCATTTCTATTTTAGCTCTTTGAGTCTTCTTTCTTCTTTTTTAAGTTAATCTAGCACCATCATCAACTAGACTTGGAAGAGAACCTCAGGAAATTCTTTGAGGGTAAGAAATACAAGTCCCTGGATCTGTGGTCCAAGAAGACACATACCATGTGCTGTGACTTAACCGGCACCAGGAGAACCTGAAGACCAAGTAGCAGCAGCAGCAGCAGCAGCAGCAGCAGCAGCAGCAGCAGGAGTGCTGCAGAAGGTCAAGGCCTGAGCATCGGCATCAACAAAACAAAAAAATTGGGAAAAAATATGACCATCATATAATCTCATCATTTCACTTCTGGGTATTTATCTGAAGGAAACAAAAACACTATCTCCAAAAGATATATGCACTCCCAGGTTTATTGCAGTACTTGATAATAGCCAAGATATAGACTCAACCTATATGTTTATTGATGGATGAATGGATAAAGAAAATGTGATATACATCCACACAATTGAATAGTATTCAGTCATAAAAAGAAGGAAATCTTGCCATTTGTGGCAACATGGATGGACCTTGAGGTCCATTATACTAAATGAAATGTCAGACAAAGAAAGACAAATACCATTGATCTCAGTTACATGTGGCATTTAAAACAAACAAACAACAACAACAACAAAACCAATTCATAAATACAGATTAACAGATTGGTGGTTGCCAGAGGTGGGGGATAAAGGATGCGTGAAATGGTGAAGGTGGTCAAAAGGTACAAACTTTCAGTTATAAATAAGTAAGTCCTGGGGGTGTAATGTACAGCATAGTGACCACAGTGAATAACACTGTATTGTAATTTTGAAATTTGCTGAGACAGTAAATCTTGAAAGTTCTCATCACAAGAAAAATATATTTGTAATTATGTGTGGTGATGAATGTTAATTAGGCTTATTGTGATAATTATGAAATATACACATATATTGAATCATTATGTTGTACACCTGAAACTAATATGTTAATTATATCTCAATAAAAAAGAAACCAAAATATAAATACTTTAAAAAACAATTAAAACTTCATAATTTATAAAAAGAAACTAAGTAAACAGGCTTTTTTATGTGTGAAGAAGAAAAAAATGAAGGGAGTTGTATAATGGTCATCTGTTGTGGACTTATTAATTTGCCTGTGTGACTACCTATAGAAAGGATGCAGAGTCAAAGGACAGATAGGGTTTTCAGTTTGACACGCTCAGCAAGAACATGCAGAACATGTAGGAGGGCCAATAGTGGTCTGCCTCTCCTGACACTGATGTCAATCGAGTCTAAACACAGTAAGAGAGATTTGGTTTATACTAAACAAATTGAATATATTTGAACTATAATTTGAGAGATTTTAGTTATGCCTATTGAATATATTAATGTGTTACATATATTAATATATGGAATAATATATGTTGAATAATTTAAAAAGAGTTCATTGTTAAGTTTCCACATATTTGTGAATTTTCTTGTTTTTTTTTATTTGTTTCTAATTTCATTTCATCATGGTTAGAGAAGATATTTTGAATGGTTTGAATCTTCTTTTTAAGCCTTGTTTTGTGGCCTAACATGTTGTCTCTTTGGAGGAATGTTCCATACTTTGATTCTATCTTCATTTCCCTTTCTGTATACTATATGGGTATTTTCTTTGTGATTACCACTGCAATAACATGAAACGTTTTAAAGTTATGACAATCTACTTTAAACTGATAATCACTTCCATTGTGTGTAAAATCCACTCTTTTACATCTCTGCTTTTCACACTATATGTTACTGATGATATAGTTACATCTTTTTATATTGCATATTTCTTAACATAAACCTACAGCTTTTTATGCTTTTTCTTAAATTCTATACTATATTGTAAAGTGATTTACATACCTACATTATCATACTTTAAATATTTAACTTTATTATTATTATTTTAATATTTAACTTTACCAGGGAGTTTTATATTTTTGTATGGTTTTGTGTTACTGTTCATAGTCCTTTTGCTTCGATTTGAAGGAGTCCCTTTAGCCTATCTTATGGGGGTAAATCTAGTGGTAATGAATTCCCTCAACTTTTGTTTATCTGGGAAATTCTTAATTTCTTCTTTGTTTTTGATGGACAGATTTTCCAGATATATTCTTGGTTGCCATTTTTTTCTTACATCAGTACTTTGAATATGTAATCTTATTCCCTTCTAGCCTGCAAAGTTTCCACTAAGAAATCTAATAGTAGCTCTTTTGTATGTAATAAGTTGCTTTTCCCTCATTGCTTTCAAGATGCTCTGTTTTTGACTTTGGACAGTTTGATTATGATGTCCGTTGGTTTGCAAACTGCCTCTGTACATAAAGGGCAAGTAGAGACCAAAGCAAGAATCAGACCACTCCAGATTGGTTGGTGGAAGTTTTAATAAGGAATTTACATACAAGGCTTGTCTTGGGTGGCTGCAAGATGAGCCTCCGGTTGCCCGGGTTCAGCTTGCACGTCAACTGGTGGTCATATCTTCTTGATTACCTCCAACATTTCTCTCATTGTAAATCCCTTTGGATTTTTCCTAATTGGGGTTCCTTGAGCTTCTTGACTTTGTATGCCCATTTGTTTCTCAGAGTTGGGAAGGTTTTGGCCATTATTTTTTCAAATAGTTTCTCTTTCTTTTCATTCTGGGATTCACATAATGCATATATGGTTCCATTTGATGATATTCCAAAAGTGCTTTAGGTTCACTTCATTTTTCTTCATTCTTTTTTTCTTTTTGCTCCTCTGCTGCAATAATTTCAAAAGTCTTGTCTTTGAGTTCATTGATTCTTTCTTCTGATTGACATCGAGTACCTTTAGTAAAATTTTCAATCCAGATATTGTATTCCTAATTTTCAGACTTTGTTTGGTTCTTCTTCATAGTTTCTATCTCTTTGTTGATATTCTCATTTTGTTCATGCATAATTTTTCCCGATTTCATTTTGTTGTCTATCCATGCTCTTTTAATTTATTGAGTATCCTTATATCTCATATCCTTATACTCATATCCTTAGTATATGTCTGTTTCTTTAGGAATAGTTTCTGGAGATTTAATTTGTTCCTTTAAATGTGCCATTTTCCTTATTTCTTAGTATGGGTTGTTATTTTTTGTTGGGATTTCAGCATTTGAAGAATCACTCATTGCCCCCAGGTTTTTTGCTTTGCTTTTGTGTAGGAAAAACTTTCTCTACTCAGCCCAGCTAGATATTCTAGAGATTCCTCCAGGCTTTTCTGGGGATGCATCTTCTCTGTGCTTGAGGAACTTGGCCAATTTCGTCTCAAGTGCTCTTGCTGGTGCCACTTTGTGATACTGTGGCCTCTTTGGTGCTGTATTAAGCTGCAGTATTGGAGCTTTACCTATTGTTTCTGTGGTAATGAAGACTCTGGTGCATGTTGACAGTCTGTTCTCAGCTATCCCTATCCTGGCACACTATTCCTGTCAGTACTTGGATTCAGGAAAGACAGAAAATCGTCCCTTGGGCAGCCCCCTAAAAGTCAGAATGATGGATATGTTTCACTCCTTTCAACAGGGAGAAGGGAGTTGACTCCTAATTGTGCCACACTGTGTTGTGGTAAGTTTCTGGATTTTCTTATAAAGGTACTTGGTCTGTGTTTTGTTAGGAATAGTTTCTGGAGATTTAATTTGTTCCTTGTCCTTTAATTTGTTCTATGTCTTCATGGGAGAGGGTCTGTGGCTTTCTATTTTGCCATATTGCTGATGTCACCCTCCCTATTTAGCCTTAGTTTTTGAAGAATATTTCTACAGCTATAGGACTCTAGGTTGACTCTTTAAAGTTATCTTTGCATCCAACATGGGGTTCGAAATCATGACCCTGAGACCAAGTGTCGCATGCTCTGCCATTTGAGCCAGCCAGGTGCCCAGACTTTTTTTTTTAATGTTAGTATTTTAAAGGTTTTGCTCTACTTTTTTTCTGGCTAGCACTGTTGCCAGTGAGAAGTCTGTTGTCATCCTTCTCTCTTTTGGTTTTTCTCTGACTCCTACAAAGATTTTCTTTTTCATACTGGTTTTAAGCTATTAGATTATGATGTAGTGTGTGGGTATTTTTTCTGAAATTTCATTTAGTTGGAGTTCATTGAGTTTCTTGAATCTGGGCTTTAAAAAATTTCAGTTTTTCTGTGGTATAATTAACATGTAAAGTTGTAAGATATTTAAAGTATACATTGTGATAACTTGATACATGTGTATACTGTTCCTCCCATCTAATTTAATTGACACATCCATCACCTCACACAATTATCCTTTTGTGTTTGTGAGAACTTTTAAGTCCTAATCTCTTAGTAAATTTCAATTATACAGTACAGTATTTATCAGTTATATTCACCATGTTTTATATCAGATCTTCAGACCAATTCATCTTAGAGCTTATTGCTTATAGCTAAAAGTTTGTACCCATTTACAAACCTCTCCCTATTTTCCCACCCTAGCCCCTGGCAACCACTTTTCTACTCTATGTTCTACGAGTATGACTTTTTTTTTTTTTTTTTTAGATTCCACTTATAAATGACATCATGATACCATGAAATATTTTTCTTTTTCCATCTTATTTCACTTAACATAATGTCCTCAAGTTCCACCCATGTTGTTATATATAGTAGGATTTCCTTCTTTCTAATGGCTGGAAAATATTAGTCTATATATGTATATAGACACATATAGTACATTGTTATTTATATGTTATACATGACTATTTTCATTTATAATATTATAGTTATCCACTTATAATTGTATGTATTATCCTATACAATATTATTATACATTATTTTAATATATACACAGTGTATATAAACACAATAGAATATATATCTCACATCTTTTTTTTTTTTTTTTAATTTTTTTTTCAACGTTTATTTATTTTTGGGACAGAGAGAGACAGAGCATGAACGGGCAAGGGGCAGAGAGAGAGGGAGACACAGAATCGGAAACAGGCTCCAGGCTCCAAGCCATCAGCCCAGAGCCTGACGCGGGGCTCGAACTCACGGACCGCGAGATCGTGACCTGGCTGAAGTCGAGGCTTAACCAACTGCGCCACCCAGGCGCCCCTCACATCTTCTTTATCCATTCATCCATCGATGGACAAAAAAGTTGTTTCCATATCTTGGCTATTGTGAATAATGGTGAAATAAACATGGTAATACAGGTATCTCTTTGATATCATGTTTCATTTGTTTTGCATATATGTACCAGGAGTGGAATTTCTGGATCATATAGTAGCTCTATTTTTAATTTTTTGAGAAAACTCCATACTGTTTTTCATAGTGGCTACACCAATTTATATTCCCACCAACATTGCACAAGAATTCCCTTTTTTCCTCATTCACGAACACTTTTTATCTCTTGTCTTTTTGATGATAGCCATTCTAACAGGTATGAGGTGTTATTGTGATTTTGACTTGCATTTTCCTGATGATTAGCGATCTTGAACACCTTTT